ATATATGTATATATATAAAAATTCCTATATGAATATCGATCATAATATGTTCGTACAAAATTTGATTTTTGTCCTGATTAATCCGTAGATAATAAGAAATACCGTTTTCTGTGCTAATAGAGTAAAATAAAATGAAATGTCAATGGATGTAGATCCGTCGAAGATTAAGACTAGTTAATGACTACTGTAATGATAATTTTAATGGACAATTTAGTATCATAGTATCTTTCGATTTTGAGCATAAGAAAGTGGTTTATAGAAATGGATGAACCGGATAGTTGCTACTGTTTATTCTCGTCTAATGTTACAGAAACCCGTTGAGAAATATCCATTCGTGTCAATAACCGTTGTTGGCGCGAGAAAATAATATCGACGATCGATACCGATCTGTTCCACGAATACATAAACGTCACAATCGGTTTTCTTGTTACCTACCCTTACCGATTAGCTCTTTTTTAAATTGAATCGGAATATAGTTTGATCCAGTTTCAATCTCCGTGCTGCTTCGAACCGTACACCGTACATTTGAACGTACGTATATAACCAATTATTCCTAGACCGCTATAGCTTCAAGGTATCGTCAGAAGCAGTTTAAATCATTGATCCAACTGCACGAATTGGAGGTAACCTATTCTCCTTGCTCGTAGATGCATTATAAACGTAGTTACTTGACTCTAGTTCACTGATCTCGGTCTATTTTTTTTCTTACATCCCTACGTGATAGGAAGCTCAAGTTATTTGAAAGGATCAACAAATAAAAACACAAAGGGAGCAAATAATAAGATCGCATCGTAACAAAGCAACGGTTTGCTTGTTCGCGATCGATACGCTTTACATATAACACTCTAGCGTCGAGTTATAGTCAACTTCGTATGGCGTAGTGTCTTATGAACTTCCGGCCGGATGTGGCCACTGTCCAGAGTATTAAATACAAACCACAGACTACGGTTGACAATTTAGGGTACATAACTCTCGGACAAAATATAGGATTAGCGCGAGTTTCATGTATAGGAATATACCAGATTTTCGTGTAATATGTCTTTGTAGGTCCAATTTGTAATATTACATATGAAAAAAATGGTACTGTGTTAGAACAGGACATGCTTCTTTCTGCAAAATGAAATGCAATTGTATCTACTATATTGCAAATAAATGTGTTTAAGTAAAATATTTTACTTTCTGTCTAGCCTCGTTTTGCGAGTAACGCTGGAAAGAGTTTCCGTTTGAAGCGAGAAGCTTTTTGCCATCCACGTTGCATTCCGCGGCATCAAAGACAGCCACTCTCCCGCCGCTAGATACGACTTCGAAATAAAAGAAAAAGAAAAATTCTCTTCGCCGCCACAGTTTAATGCCAGAGCGTAGAAACGAAACGGCGTACAGTGAATCATAATGCGCTACGTGTTCCGTTACAATTCGATCCGAACTCGCCACTGCGTGTGGAATATAAATTTAATAGATGCTTCGTACTCATTAAGGCGCGGCGAAAATCGTGCGTAAGGTCAAGGCGGAAACGATGACAGCGACACGCACGTTATATTTTCAATATTAAATTTCGTATTTCCAGATATCATAGCCCGGTCGATAATGACGTGTGTTGTGTATCATTTGCACGTGTCGCGTAATATCGCAGGGACATTAAAGGAGTGGTTAGTTTCTCGATTCGCCGAGTCGTGTCGCAAGAGGAGCTTTCTCAACTCGGAAGATTATGACCCGCTCACGGAAATGGAGTGTGTTTCGGGTGAAACGCTTTGCTTACAAAAGCGGCGCACAGAGTCAACGAACGAATGATTGCACTTTAAAGGTGTTTTACACGTACACAACGTCATCGGCAACACCAGACTACGCGCAAAGGTGTACACGACCGCCCAATATGAACTGTATAACGTCGTTTAAAATGTGTATATATTTTTTCTTTTTTTAGGTTATGGAGAGAGGAGAAACGATCAGAGAAAGATCGTTATAGGTTAACGGCGAGTTTCTCGATTCAATAAACCGAAAGCAGAAACCTGAGAGCTTTGTACAGGGTCATCCCCGTAAAACAGGGGGCACTAGGGACATGTAGAAAACAAAACAAACGACAAAAAAAATAAAAAAAATAAAAAAATAAAAAATGACAGAGACGCCCATATACTTCGTGAAAGCTAAAAATATACACCGTGGTCAAACTAGTTTGGGAAACGTCAACGTGATGTCACTGTTTGGGTGGCCTCGGCGGTATCATTTCCAGGAAAAATCCATAGGTACGTTGATTACGAAGACGCTCTTTCTTTATGACACAATGTAACAAAGAGTTGTACGCGTTGTTTCCAACGAGGCTGGGAATCCAGAGAGATACTCTCGGTCGAACCGAGTGCAGCATCGTGGAACAGAAACCGGTCCAGTGCGCATAAGACTGCACACAACAGTGAGACAGCCTCATTCCGAAGTCCCTTGAGAGATCTAAAGAAGGTGGTGGACGCACTGTGACAATTTACCTGTGCGACTGACTTCCTCTCTTAAACCTTGAGACTTCTCAGCTAGAAACATGGAACAATGGAAAATCAAAGAAACTTCTCGGAATGTAAGAATATTCCACAACCTTCTTGTTCTCGGGTTCTTTCTCTGTTCTATCACTGAGAATGATGAGCTTTCCATGGAATAATACAAACGTCAGGATTACGTGTATTATTGTTATAATCAACAACGATAATGAAAAATTGTTTAACAGAAGTAAAGTATTCTGTCATAGTAATTATTATAAATAGAAACATCACAGTAAATTTCCTAGAAGAATTTTCCAAAAATTTAATTTGATATAAGGATTATTTTTTAAATAACAAGATGAGACTGCGAGAAAATAAGAGTACATTCTACTTAGTAAACGTTACTCGGTAAAAGAGTTTTGTATGCTGATTTATAAACGAATATATAATTAGTGAGTTCCATGCAGAATAAAATGTCGGTTAGGAGAGTGGTTGAACTGCACTACGGACTGAATAGTAATGATAGCTTTAGAATATCAAGAGACAAGAAATTTGTATAACCTTATCATTAATTAAGAGTTTACTAGCAGGCTGTCGTACGAGAAACCCAAACCCAGTATAAAATCAAAGGAGCCACTCGTATCGAAGTGGTTCAGGACAAAAGGGGAAAAGAAACCGTTCTTACTTTTTACGGAAGAATCGATTTAATTGACTACTTTACAATGGTGACTTGCCTCGTGGAAACTTGCCAAGAGTTTATTGACTTGTACTCTACTTTCGTTTCTGTGGCTAATTTTGAAACCCTTTTTTATCCAATGTATATATGTATTTTTCATTTGTATAAGAAATTCAAATTTAAATCCAGACTCAAAATTAAATTCAAATCTAAATTTAAATTCGAATTCTCTTACTTTTTAATCGTTTCGTAGTATTCGTATTCATATTCTAATCGTTTCCCGGATTCATATGTTTTCCAGAATTAATTTCTCTACGCGTAAGCTCGTCGAATTAATTCATCAATTTAAAATTAAATAAATGATTATTATACTAATATTAAAAAACACATTTGTAGGGTGGGTAAAGTGCTTCTTAATGAGCGGCGACTATCGTTCGGTGGAGATCATCTCGTACGACTTGTCTTTTGCACTTAAGTTTCTAACTCGTGCACCGTCAGCTGAAAGCAGCTTTTGCCTCGAGGGGAAATTGCATTTTATCAGATTTTCCATTCTTTTTATGGGCTATCTTCGGATTTATGCCTCGCGAAATATATCGAAACAACACAATAACGAAACCTCGCGAAAGTTTACAAGTTCTTCCAGTCTTTCCAGTATTTAAAATGCTGGCAGAACACTATACGATAAAATTATTTTGGGTCTTAACTCGTTGCATCGTCGATATTATGCACGGCAGCGACGATTATTTCGTTTATCCTCTTCGACAGAAAACACGAGACGATTCTCCGCAGAGAAGTTTCGAATATCCGTTCTATGATATTTTTAGCGGTTGCTGTGGTTGAATCGCGTTTTTTTATTCCGTAATTTGTAATACAGATCTTGGCATGTATATATGGAAGGGGCGGCCGCTACTGATGGAAAACGTTGCACAAAGAAAGTATGAAAGAAGAAGAAATAAAGAAGGACGAACGAAGATAAAAGAATCAAATGAACCTTGACAAACAAAATGATTGGATTTTTTGTTAGAAAAATGGATTCGTTGTACACAAAAACCGTAACTGAGACCTATGATGTTTTATTAATGACATACTCCTTTTGATGGATGCAATTCTGCTTGGTGGAAAAAGAATAATTTCGATGTATTTTAAGTTAAGAAACATTGAACTGTTACTATTGAAAGCAGCAAACTTCTAATTCATCTTTATTGATGAATAATAGTGTTCACTTTATCTATTATAGCAGTACAAAAGTTCTCAGTCACGATCACTTATCGTTTAATTTACTATTAATGGTTAAAGATTACAGTCCTGAACTTTACTGTACTTACGTGTGATTTAATATTCACGAACGTATCACAGATTTATATCTGTTTATCGTTGGCAATATCGATTCATTGAGAAAAAAGAGGCTTAGTAGTAATGTAACATAATTAATGCACTAAACTAGGAATTAAACATCGTTCAAACAAGTCACGTCTCGTACGAACGTTCCGTAAGTATCTTTCTTGAGATTCCATTTAGAATATCGTGAAATGATATCGCGAACATAATGGAACCTTGAAGACTGCCTGTATAGAGTGCAGATGGCTTCCGTGATCGTGGAACACCTGTCGTCTTCTTTTACAACGGTGTGGATCTCCACGCGTAATATAAATCAGCCCGATTTTCGTTGTGGCAGATGCTAACTGCGTTAAGACAGATGTTAACTACGTTGTGCAGAATAAATTCGCGCGGTGCTACTGATCGGTCGCTAGATGGCGACACGATCGATCTAATTCGATACTTTCATCGTTCGACTTGCAA